AACAACGTCGACGATCACCTATTGTTGACGCATGCGGAGTGGCAAGCAAGGAGCAAGAAGAACGGCGGAGGCTTCCTCTCAACACCTACAACCAATGATGGCAGCGGTCGAGGACGAGGTCGCGGGGCCGGTCGTGGGCGTGGCCGTGGCCAAAGAGGCCGAGGCGGACAGCAGCACCACGGCAGCGGGCAGCAGCACCACGCTGCCCAAGCAGGCCGCGGAGGGGAGCACGGCGGCCAGGCAGGCCGAGGCGGCTTCGGCGGCAGAGGAGGACGTCCAGGAGGTGGTTTCGGCCATGGAGGTGCAGCTCGCCAGGAGGGGGAGAGTAGCACAAGCGGTGGTCGAGACAAATCCAACATCAAATGCTTCAATTGCGGAGTATACGGGCACTTTCAGTCGGAGTGTCACAAGCAACGCCACAACCATGAACAGGAGGCTCATCTTACCCGTGCATATGACGAGGAGCCAACCTTGATGATGACTGTTTTAGAGGAATCATCAACTGTCATTCTACTCAATGAAGAGAAGGTGGTGCCAAACTTACTCACAGCGGGGGAGGCACAAGTTGCCAACGACGTTTGGTACCTCGACAACGGAGCTAGCAATCACATGACCGGCCACCGAGACAAGTTCAAGGAGCTCGACGAGAACATCAAGGGAACCGTCAAGTTTGGTGATGGATCCGCGGTAGAGATCAAGGGGAAAGGCTCTATCCTCTTTCAGTGCAACAACGGCGATCAAAGGCTACTACCTGAGGTATATTATATTCCAAGTTTGAAATCTAACATTATTAGCCTTGGTCAGATGACTGAAGATGGGAGTAAGGTTGTTATTGCTGACGAGTTCCTGAGGGTGTTTGATAGGAACGGTGCTCTCTTGATGAGGGTGACACGTTCAACTAACCGATTGTACAGGATAGAGTTAAAGACTTGCAAGCCGGCGTGTTTGATGGCGAACATTAACGATCCAGCTTGGTTATGGCATGCTCGCCTTGGGCATGTCAATTTCTTCGCCCTCAAGATGATGACTGATAAGAGGATGGCTTCCGGGTTGCCGAAGATCTTGCACCCAAATCAACTATGCGAAGGATGCCTCGTCGCCAAGCAAGCAAGACTACCGTTCCCTTCGCAAGCAAATTTCAGAGCTCAGAAGCCGCTTGAGTTACTACACGCTGACCTATGTGGTCCCATCACCCCATCTACACTTGCTGGGAATAACTACTTCCTTCTTATCGTTGATGATTTCAGCCGATGGATGTGGGTATACATGTTGAAGGCCAAGAGTCAAGCTTGTGAAACCTTCAAGAAGTTCAAAACAGAGGTTGAGAACGCATGTGACCACAAGGTGAAGACATTGAGGACGGATCGTGGTGGCGAGTTCTTGTCAAAGGAGTTCACCAAGTTTTGTGAAGACTACGGCATCAAGCGTCATCTCACTGCACCGTACACCCCGCAGCAAAACGGTGTAGTGGAGAGGCGTAACCGCACGGTGATGGACATGGCGAGAAGCCTACTTAAGAGCATGCAGATGCCTGGAACCATGTGGGGCGAAGCGGTTAGGCACGCGGTGTACATCCTCAACCGACTACCAACCAAGGCGTTGTACGATCACACACCCTACGAAGCTTGGTTTGGTAAGAAACCTGTAGGCTGTCTAAAAATCACAATGGATAGTTGAGTCTCCATCAAACACTGATGATGGAAGTTACAGTTTGACGACTTCCAGAAGGCTACAATTCGAAGATTTTCACATGTCAAAGAGTTAAAGCAAAGATTACAAAATGACAGTCTTTAGCAATACTATCTCCCTGCAGAGGAGTTGTTCCTGATCACTGAAGAACCCGCGAGCTACAGTGAGGCTGCATCAGATCAAGAATGGCGGACAGCTATGGAGAAGGAATTGGAGGCCATCGAGAAGAACAAGACTTGGGTACTCACGGAGTTACCGCGGGGTTCCAAACCCATTGGTCTCAAATGGGTGTACAAGCTGAAGAAGGACAATGAAGGCAACATTCTCAAGCACAAAGCAAGACTTGTAGCAAAAGGGTACGTCCAGCAGCAAGGCGTGGACTTCGATGAGGTGTTTGCACCTGTGGCGAGGCTTGATACCATCAGAATAATCCTCGCTATATCAGCACAGAACGGGTGGGAGGTGCACCATTTGGATGTGAAGTCGACATTCCTAAATGGTGATCTCCAGGAAGAAGTGTATGTGGTTCAACCTGAAGGGTTCGTTGTGAAGAATCAAGAGCACAAGGTCTACAAGCTTTCAAAGGCACTCTACGGTCTACGCCAAGCACCTCGGGCATGGAACACGCGCCTCGACAAGTGCATGAAGGGCATCGGATTTGCAAGATGCACTCAGGAGCAGGCGGTATACACAAGGAGTAACAGAGGGGATACACTCATTGTTGGCGTGTACGTAGATGACTTGATCGTTACGGGCTCGAGGGCGGATGAGATAAAGTTTTTCAAGCAACAAATGATGAAGGAGTTCGAGATGAGTGACCTTGGATTGCTTTCCTATTATCTTGGTATCGAGGTGGATCAGCGAGATGATTGTATTGCACTAAGGCAGGCGGCCTATGCGAAGAAGGTTTTGGGTCAGTTCGGCATGATGGATTGCAACCCGACGCAATATCCTATGGAAACAAAGCTAAAGCTTGGAAAGGATTCCGAAGGAACACTGGTGGACGTGGCGGAGTATAGACGCATTATCGGATCTTTGAGGTATCTAACTCACACCCGACCCGATATCACATATGCCGTGGGGATTGTGAGTAGGTACATGGAGCACCCTACAGTTTTGCATCGACAGGTTGTCAAGCATATTTTGAGGTACGTGAAGGGTACTATGTCCTACGGATTGGTGTACAAACGAGGTCGAGGCAATGAAGAGTTGGTGGGATTCACTGACAGTGATCTTGCGGGAGATGTTGATGACAGGCGCAGCACAGGCGGCATGGCATTTTATCTAGGTGACAGTTTGGTCACTTGGACATCACAGAAGCAGAAGACGGTGGCATTATCATCCTGCGAGGCAGAATTTATGGCGGCAACTGCAGCAGCATGCCAAGGCTTGTGGTTGAGGAGTTTAATCAGCGAGGTGATTGGGAGTGAGCCCAAGCCGGTCACACTCTTCGTCGACAACAAGTCCGCGATTGCCTTGATGAAAAATCCAGTTTTCCATGGAAGAAGCAAGCATATCGACACACGGTTTCACTTCATTCGTGAGTGTGTTGAGCGAGGACAGATTAAAGTGGAGTTCGTGAGCACGAGCGAGCAGCGAGCGGATATTCTTACGAAGGCACTAGCGAGGGTGAAGTTCATCGAGATGCGGGAGCTTCTAGGAGTAAGGGACTTAGAGTCTAGTCCAGATTAAGGGGGAGAATGTGAGTTGTTAATCAGTCCTAGTTAGAATAGAGTTCTAGTTAGAATAGAATACTAGTTAGGATAGTTTTTCTAGTTATTGGATAAGATTAGAGTTGTAATCTTATTCCTATATATATGTAAACAATCTTTGTAAGTAATAGAACGTGAAATAAAGAAATCAAAAAAGGTTCCTGCTCCATCTGTTCGTTCTCTCCTCTCTCTGTTTTGTTCGGTCATTAGCAAGTGCAGGTTTTTATAAAAGCTTACAACTTTGATACTTGGGCCGATCCTACTTCAAAACCAACAGTTATGTAATAACCCTCGAAAGTTAAGTGTTTATTTATTTATTCATTTATAAAGTCTCTTATTAATTGAAGTGCCTTGACTTTGATAAGGAGTGACAAGGTCAGTGTCCTTTCTTACAAGATTGATGCTTTTGGTGCAATAGTATAATTAGGAACATAAGAATAGAGCATCAGTAATTTGCTAATGAGGGACAATGTTTGCTAATTGAGCAAGGTCTTCTTTCCCAAGTCATTATTTATGAAAAGATGCTTTAGATCTTAGTTTAAGACACATTTCCTAAAGTCTCAGCGCCTTCCGATGACTTCTCTTCGAAAAATAATCTCTTTAGACATGGAATTATACAGTTAAAATTATCGGAAAAGACATGCGGAAACTTCCTCAAAGAAACAGCGGGAATTTTCCTTTCTTGGCTTCGTGTTAAGGAGCGACAAGTGGGAGCGCTTCTCTCTAAAATTACGTTATTTGTACAGTTTGCATAGGAGATGAGCTTATTATAAAATACGTATTATGAGCGTTTCATGCTAATAGATCCCATAGGGTTCTATTGTTAAAGATAGATATCTTGCATTCTTTTGATATTTATATTAATCATATTATAAATCTTGCATTCTTTTGATACTGAAAGGCACGTGCAGAGTCATTTTTTGTGAATTACAATAAAAGTATTTTTAGAAACTAGTTTATTCTTCTTCTTCCTCCTCCTTTTTTTTAATGGGGAAAACTAGTTGATTCTTATGATATCAGAGTACTATATAATAAACTAGAAAAATTCCTCAAGTACCTAAAATATGGGACCAATAAAGGGACAAGTGAGGTGTCTCCCTCCTTTTGGATAATGAGTTGATCATCATTAATGATTGCCAACTCATTATCCAATAGGAGGGAGACACCTCACTTATTGGATAATGAGTTGATCATCATTAATGATTGCCAACTCATTATCCAATAGGAGGGAGACACCTCACTTGTCCCCTCTATTGGTCCCATATTTTGGGTCCTTGTAGCAAAGCTCAATAAACTATAAGTCCTCCAGTACATTAATTAACATTGTTAACATTATTTACTCTTACCATTAAGAACCCAATGAGCTTGCATTAAAGTTCCTATTTTACTAGTTTCCATTTCATTATCTCGAGTTATGAAAACTTATCCTTGACCAGCAATCCTTAGAATATACAATGCCATGTCAGCCTGCATTTTTTAGTCACACCCATAGACTTCCGAAGTCTTAAACAAATACAGTTTGCGTCCATGATTCCCATCTTTTAGAGAAAAATAAAAAGACTTCGCTAGCCTGGCATAAGGTTCTAATCAAGTCATTTTTTTTTTATCCACTAACATTAGTCCTTGACACTATAAATTCTCATCAAGTGGTGGTAGATCATCATTCGTACTCAAAATCAATAGAGAGGAGAAGCAAGTTAGCAAGGGGAAAATATGGCAGAGTTGGGATCCCAGCTTTCTAGAACTGTAAGTTCAAAGTACATTCTTTTATCTACTTAACACAAATTCATTTTCATACATATACAAATTTCTTGCAAATTTTTAGTTTCCTTAGCTATATCCTTTTGTAGACCTCTTGGATTGAGAGGACTGGCTTCCAAGGCGTCGTTTTGCACCCAAGGGAGCTCTCTGTTACTGATTCTGATGACAAGGGCAAGTGGCTCTGGCACTGGCTCATGCTGGAAACGTGAGAAAACTCTCTTAACCAATTTTTGTTTTTTTTTTGTTTTTTTGTCACTACTTAAATTGTAGAAAAGCCCCAGCGTTATAACGGTATTTTTTACAACATAGATAAATAAAATACTCCGAACATCATGTTTGCAAGGGGGGATGTTTTGATAAAAAATTTATTTGAACAATCAATCCACTAATTTTGGGTTCAGGTTTAACTTAAAACGCATAGCAATTTGTTATAATATATTTCTGTCTGGAAACAAACAATGAAAATATAAAGGTCACTCCGTTAAGTACTTCAGCAGTTCTATTGTCTGTCAACTAGACGGTATCTAATACTAATAAATACCCTTTTCACTCTTCTAATTCTGCAGTCAAGATCACGAGAACGTCGAAGTTCCCCAGCTCATAGGAGATGAGGTATACATCGAGGGCAAATGCGACATGTCCAAGCTCAAAACAGGCGAAACCTGCGACGCGGTGGTCACCGTAATGCTAAAGGACGTCATTGAAGAGGGGGACTTCGTCGTGAACCTCGAGCTCAAATTACCTCAAGAAGCTCCCAAGGCCCATGAGGTCGACCTCAACGCCATGCCCAAGAACGAGTGGCTGGTGCTGGTGGTCGGAGATTTCGTGGCCGCCGAGTCCGGCGAGGTCCGCTTCGTGATGAGCTCGAAAAAGGCGAAGAAGGGGCTTATCGTTAAGGGGGCCTCTGTTCATGCCGTTCCTCAGATGATGCCGTCAGAGTGAGGAAAGAGGATGAAGGACATGTGATGTTCTGCTGTTGTGTGTTCTGCTTTTGTTGAGAATTTGATTAAGTCTGTGTTCGGTTGGATCCTTCATCCGTGTCTGTTTTTCCCACCGAAAATGGGGTTGTTAATTAATTTAAGAGAACTTATCAGAACTGTCATTGTATTTGTCTAATAAATGAATTGGGTATAATAATTATCAAATAACACTGCCATGAAATAGTCAGGATTTTACATAGAAAAATATTATAAACTACTTTTACTAGAGAAAAGTATTTCAATTATTTTTCTGTAAACTATATCACGACTAATTTCTACTTGTGGAATTTAGCGAATGAGAAGTAGATGATATTTGTTGGACATTTATACAACTATATTTCTATAGTAAGATGATCTTTGGGCTGGGAGATTATAAATACGGAGTAATTTGGACTTTCAATAACTATTTTTAACATTATTTAGACATGTTTTCAATTGATTTCAAAGTTTTAACAACTTTCCTTAGTAATATTAGTTTAGGATAGTTTCCTACAAAACTCCTAGCTCATGATGGTTTTGTGAAACTTGCTCTTTGTTTCAGATTTGAAATTTGTTGAATGATGATATCCATAATATATTGATTTCAAAGTTTTAACAACTTTCCTTAGTAATATTAGTTTAGGATAGTTTCCTACAAAACTCCTAGCTCATGATGGTTTTGTGAAACTTGCTCTTTGTTTCAGATTTGAAATTTGTTGAATGATGATATCCATAATATAGTTTTAACAACTTTCCTTAGTAATATTAGTTTAGGATAGTTTCCTACAAAACTCCTAGCTCATGATGGTTTTGTGAAACTTGCTCTTTGTTTCAGATTTGAAATTTGTTGAATGATGATATCCATAATATA